TTCCTGTTAGAGCAGTCTAGAGAAACCGGTAGAGGAAGCCATGTTGCTGACTGGTGCTAGGCAGGCTTATCATTGCTAATGGCAGAAACATCACGGTAAGCTAATCACAAAAACAGTCCCCCTGGCCCCTTGCCGCGGTGATATGTGGAGGCGCATTCAATTCCCGCAGTAGCAGCAGAGGCCAGATTCGATTTACAGCCCAGAGCATTTTCCTCTCTGACTCACTCTGTCAGACTAGGATCAGATTGCAGACACAGCTGCCCTCAGCCCCGCCACCTCTGATCTCCACCACTACCACCATCCAGTATTTTCCACTGAACACAAACAAGTATGTGAAACTACGGGACGCATCGACTAGTATTTCAAAGAACTGCGTCTGCTTAAAAAAGAGACAGCGGGCATCGTCCGTGGTCCTGTGCCACGTCGGTTTAGAGCAGTGTGGACCGGAGGGAAACGGGATCCGGGCCGCCCCAGCCATTCATGGCATTCAGGTTGTGAGCATTCCCTTCTAGTGCATTTTAAAAAATTATTTCTTTCATTTTTTGAGCGCGTAATATAAATGCATCATCTCCCCCTTCCCGTTCTTCCCTCCAAACCCTTCCATATATCCCTCCTTGCTCTCTTTCAAATTCACTCTTTTTTATTATGTTTTATACATATATATAACATAATATATATATATATGTTATAGTATATGTATGTATGTACTTCTAAATATATAAATACAACCTGCACAGGCTGTATAGTGTTACTTGTGTGTGTTTTCAGGGCTGATCACTTGGTATTGGATAACCAACTGGTGTGCTCTTCCCCGAGGAAGACTGTTTCTCCCACTTAGCCTTCCTCAGCCTCCAGGGCATTTTTGAGCACACGAAGGGTTCCTTCTTTGAAGTTAATCTATTGGCTATAGGGGTCTGATACTCTGTGAGTACTGAAGACGACATGACATGGAATGTGTATTTAATAAACTTGTGTGAGGGCTTGGACCTGGAGTCTTGGTTTGGGTGGGGAGAAAATGCAGTATGGGGCGCAGAGAGATGGTTCCGTGGTTCAGAGCCTTGGCAGATCTTTTAGAGGTCTGGGGTTTCGTTTCAGGAATCCACAGAGCAGCTCACAACTGCTCTTAACTCCAGCCCCAGGAGATCCAGTGCCGCCTTCTTCTGGCACCTGCACACAGGTGCACATAAACTCACAGAAGAACACACACATGCACATATTTTTTTTTAAATCTTAGGGGGGAAAAAGATAGCAATGGAGTTTGAAGAAAGGGTCTCGGATGTCTTTGGTATCAAATGATGTGATCCGTTGTCACCCAGGCACATGCTGAAGAGATGTTTCCTTCACCCAGCCTGAGCCAACACCCTTCTGCGCTCTCCTTCGTGAAGCAGGAAAAGGACCCGAACATGTGTGTGTCAGTGACTCCACAAGAAGCTGCTGTGGCAGCAGAGCCTCGAACATCTGACCCCAGTACCAATAAAAGGAGTCCCCCGAAAGTGACTGTGCTCCTGCGTTTGCTCTCTGTTGGTGCCCGCTCAGGGAGCCTTTTTATAAGCCCACGCTGTACTAGGAACAAACGTCAGAGCCTGGCACTGTGGGGGCAGAGGCCTGGGGACCAGACAGACCTCACTGGAGTCCTAGCCTTTCCATTCTCAGCTGTTTTCAGTCCTCCTCCTCCTCCTCTTCAGGTGACAAGACCATTATTATCTAGACTGTGGGAGCAACTGTGAGTTGTGGATATCGCTCTATATAAATAAAACACTGATGGCCAGTGACCAGGCAGGAAGTATAGGCGGGACAAGGAGAGAGGAGAATTGGGGAAACAGGAAGAAGGAGGGGGAGACACTGCAGCCACTGCCAGGACAAGCAGCATGTAAAGACGCCGGTAAGCCACAAGCGACATGGCAAAGTATAGATTTATAGAAATGGGTTAATTTAAGATATAAGAACAGTTAGCAAGAAGCCTGCCATGGCCATACAGTTTATAAGTGATATAAGCATCTGAGTGATTATTTTATACGTGGATTGCGGGACTGCGGGGCTTGGTGGGACCTGGAGCGAAGCCCTCCAGCAACAACTGTGGACATGAGGAACCACGACAGTCACTGCTATTTATCGAATACTCAGGTGGCATTAGGAGCCCTGACAAGGTCATTTCGTTCTCACTTTTAAACAAGAAAGATGAAGAAACTGAGATAGCATGTTGTCCCTGGTCACCCCGAAAGTGGGCGGCTGGCGTTAGCTGTCAGTTACGTCTCCATCCCATCTTAGACCTTCAGATCCTGTGAAATCCAAGTGGTGCCTGAGGTGGCGTTAACGCTTGCTAACACTGAGTTCTTGCTTCCTGTAGACTTGCTCCGCACTCTGTACTAGAGTCCCCTGTATTTCCTGCTTTAGTGTTCTACTGTTCAAGTCAGCTGCGGCCCACTGTGGTCTGCAAATAGTCAATGGAAAATTCCAGAATAAAGAAACTCCAAGTTTTCAATTGCACCTTCTTCTGCATGTTGACATCTAGTGCAGTGAAGTCCACGATTCTGCCAGTCTGTGACTCGTTCCTTCCTGAAACATAGAGTGTGGTAACAGAGTGCGAGAGACAAACCACAGCCATATGGCTTTTTGACTCTTAGATCGGGTCTTTCTATATTGTTCAGGCTGGTCTCGAACTCCTGGGCTGAAAAACATCATCCTTAGCTGGGACAAGATGCATGTGCCACTGTACCCTGCTTACATGACTTTTGTAACACTGTGTTATAATTGTTCTGTTTTATTATTATTATTGTTGATATATTACTGTGCCTATGGAGCTGGAGAGGTGGCTCAGTAGTTAAGAGCACCGGCTGCTCTTCCAGAGGACCTGGGTTCAATTCCCAGCACCCACACAGTGGCTCACAGTTCCACACCAGGCATGCATGTTATACAGACATATATGCAGGCAAAACACCATGCACATAAAAAATAAAAAGTACAAGAAAATAAATTGAACTTTATCATAGGTGTGTGTAGGAAAACCCAGACTATGGTCGCCTGGGTTTCAGGTATACACTGGATGTCTGGGCATCCCTCCAGGATAAGAGAGGACTGCAGTTCATTTGAACAATAGTGATTTTTTTTTTTAAAAAAAAAAAGCAATATGTAAGTATCTTATGCATGCAAATAAAGGTTATTTAAATATGTACATAAAGTCACATTAGCCCCTGGGTACTCTGCAAACTAATATGATTCTACAAATTTGGTATACAAGAAATACTACGACTTTTTTCTATAGTTGAAACTCAGTGTTTAACCCTGAGCCCTCACCTGGCTAATAAGCTACCCAGTGTTTGTCATTCTTAGAATTTCTACCCAGTTTTCACCAATATCCTTCATACCTCTGTCATCTCGGAGCAAAACCTTCTCCTCCTGGTACGGCATGCGTTGAAACTTCACCTTGCCATCCTGTCATGGGGCGGCGGGGAGTGTTTCACTTTTCCCACCCAGCTGTGCTGTTTGCAGGCTGGGAAGAAACCGTGAATTTCTCACCCATGAGAAAGGGTTCCCAGGTCACCAGAGAGTGGGTTGGTCATTGAGGTGTCGGCTTCAGTGTTAGAAGTTCTCTCGCAAGATGAACCTTTTTTTCTTTTTCTTTTTTTCTGTTTTTGTCTTCTTTTTTCAAGACAGGTTTCTCTGTGTAGCCCTGGCTGTCCTGAAACTCCCTTTGTAGACCAGGCTGGCCTAGAACTCAGAGAATTCCCCTGCCTCTGCCTCTAGAGTGCTGGGATTAAAGGCATGTGCCACCATGCCTGGTGCTCCAAGACAAATCTTAAAAAGGTTTTCTGGCCTCCTCTGAGGAAGTGTAGAGTCGCCAAGTGAAACTCCCCTGAGTTTCCTTTTATGAAGCCGGTGAACACCAGCTCTCAGGCTCCTGCACTGTCCATTGCTGTCCACTGCATGTAAAATTCATCCATGGCTTTGCCCATGCACCTGTCCACATGGTAGAACTCAGAGGATTAAAGGGTTTTTATCAGATAAGTGTCATGGACCCTGGTTATGTCTGGTCCTGGAGGACAGTGTCCAGTGGGAGAGGAATGGGGGGGGGAGGGGAAGAGTTTTCACCTCTGTTCTTCAAGAACTATTTAACAAGAGTTAATGTGAACCTCGAGTTCTTGAATGTGCTTTTAAGAGCTGGAAAATAACGGATTCCCTTTTTAGTGGTCACTGGCCACCCCTCCCCACCCTAAGGCAAAGTCCTTGAGACCCTTTCTACCATGTGGGAAGGTGGGGAGACAAGACAGGGTGAGAGTAATGAAAGAGTTAACATTGGGAGAGACAGCTCAGCCCTTAAGAATGCCTGCTGTTCTTGCAGAAGACCTAGCTAGGTTTACAGCACCCTCATAAGGTGGCTCACAATGCCTGTGATTCCAGGTCTGGGACATCTGACATCCTTTTCTGGCCTCCACGGGTACCTAAATTTGTATGCCCCCCCACACACACACACTGACACACACTCACACAGAATTCACTTTTTTTTTTTAAAAAAAGAAAGGTAACATTGTCTTTTCACCCCCTAGCTGCCAAACAAAGAGAATCTCAAAGGTAATGAGTTTCTCTGAGAGCAGAGAGCGTTGAAATAGGCACATGTTTGCCTGCTAACTCTGGGCACTTTTAAAGAGGTTGGCACCTGGGATGTTTTTAAAGGAAAACTGAGGAAGATTGCATAAGTTATTTTGAAGCAACAGTCCTTGGCTACAGAGATGAGGAACAGGAACAGAACTAGTCCAAGGCTGACTGGGTGGATGTCCTTACAGGAGTGTTCTTGTAGGAGGTCGTGGTAACCTCCCCGCATCCCCAAGATTGTGGTTCTGAGCCTGTTCTCATCATGTGGTGTATGTGTGTGTATTCGATCCCCCTCCTCCATAACCTCAGCTTCACCAGTTACATTTTCGTCTGTTAGGACTTGACACAAGTGACTCCATTTTGATATCTTTTGCCCACTCATGGCCAAGGCTTATCTGTCTGTGTTTCAGACAATGGTGGGCAGACTCTGTCTGGGGGCAACAACTGGCCGCTTCGAGGACGGAAATGGACCCTGTGGGAAGGAGGCATCCGTGGAGTGAGCTTTGTGGCAAGCCCCTTGCTGAAACAAAAAGGTGTGAAGACCCGGGAGCTCATCCATATCTCGGACTGGCTTCCAACGCTGGTGAACCTGGCCGGGGGAAGCACCAACGGTACCAAGCCTCTGGATGGCTTCGACGTGTGGAGAACCATCAGGTACCTACATGCCTTTCCCCGTTCTTTTCCAGGACAGAAACTCGAGCAACTTAACATGATTGATGGAGAATGATCGCTTCCCTTTGTAAGATGAAGTCCAGCTAAGACATACAAGACTTTAAAAAGAAAAAGAAAAGAAATGAAATGCCTTTCAAATATTGTCGTTAGGTATTTTTAAATCTTACATTTGGGATTTGGGTTCTGTGTTTTATACAAAGGACAGGCTTCTCCTGTAGAAAGGTCTTTAAAGCTGAGCAGTTTTTCTTGGTGTAGGATAGAGTATTGCTAGCTTCTTGTAGGATGCTAGGGCATCGGCCCTGTTGCCAGCTCAAAAATTGGAGGACTCACCAGAGAAGGCAGCCTCAGATAGGAACCTGGAGACACTGTGCAGTCTGTAGAACTTAGTCCCACTCCTTAATGAGTATTTTATGAGTACCAACTATGTGATGCTCTGTCCCGGGTTCTAGAAAATTAGAAATAAATAACTCGGGCAGAACCCTGGCTCTCAAGAAGCCTGTATTGTGGCGGGGGTGAGGGATTAAGGGCATTAAACCAGGAAAAGAAGCGGGATGACTTGGGGTACTTTGGGTGGAGGTAAGAAGTGTGGAGGCAATAAATGGTGCGCTCTGAGAGCGGGGGACACCATGCAGGAGCAGGGCCTGTGCTCAGCTGTAGAGATGGCAGCTGTCCTGCCCGGTTCGCTCCCACGGTTGCGGACATGGGACCTGCAAGGAAGAGAAGAGGGGCACGTCCCTGTCCCTGGAGGCCGGAAGATGCTTTCACATACAGATCTGTGGTTTGGTACCCAGATCCAGCTTACACATATAATGACATACATTGCAAGCACTGTCTTTCCTAAAGCAACAAAATGGATAGTGCTGGGCCTCTCAACCCCTCTGGCCTGCTGAACTCTGTTTGGGGATGGCGGTTTGACCGTCTGTCCTCCTTGTGAATCACCCCATACTTTTCTTTCTTCATCTGTGGTTTTCCCAGTTCAAAATAGTGAGGTTTCAGGTTTCTCTTCAAAGGAAATGCACAGCAGAGGCCTCAGGAGTGAAGAGCCATGGTGTGCGTGGTTCATTAGAAGGTTGTGTGTACGTGTGAGTATCGTGGGGGTGGGAGACTCAGACTCCAATATAAACAATATGAGAAGATGGGTAGGGAGGATAGATGTTCTTGATTTTTTAATAAGTTTCTATAAATTTGAAATTATTTCCAAATAAAATGTGTTTGGTTTTTTTTTTAAATATAAAGGTCTGGCAATATGTGGCCTACATTTCCACAGCTTTGCACCAAATGGAATCAGATAGCAGCAGTCTTCCTTAGATGAGGTGCTGACTCTCCCAAGCCATCTGTCCCCAGTGCTCCTGGCTGTCCACGGGCCCCTGCACTCACTGGCGATACCTGCCTAGTCCCTAGTTGGTAATCCATGTTCGTAGAGTCCAGTGCCAACACTCTGTACATACTCTAATGGAATTGTTCCTTCACTGCTGGGCTTATAGCTTATTTCTTTTTTTGTTTGTTTTTTTGAGACAGTGTTTCTCTCTATAGCCCTGGCCATCCTGGAACTCGCTCTGTAGGCCAGACTGGCCTCGAACTCACAGAGATCCACCTGCCTCTCTGCCTTGTCCTCTCTAGGCTGTCTGGAGAGGGAGCTCCGCAGTACCATGGTCTGTAACCTCCAGCCATGCACAGCCTGTGGCGCTGGTCTGTCTGGCTGCGTGGTACTCTGGCTGTCAGTAATCTCCATCACTTTGGCCTGCACAGGAAGGGTGGCACATGAGGTGGTCACCGTAGGGTCTCTGTGTATAGTTAAGTGGGGACCTTCACCAGCATCGCGGGTCCTAGACTTAGAGAGTGCTCTGTGAGCCCCACCCTATTCCTTTCTGTCCTCTGTGCTCACTCTTGGTAATGCTACCGAGTATGAAGGACTGTGTGACATAGGAAGCAGCTGCCGCCTGTTACCTTGAATTGAAGCTCTGTCTCTGCTGCTCTCTTCTGCCGCCCCTCCCCCACTTCCTCTCCCTCCACCATTCCGCCTGCGCAGCCTGTCCATCCCCGGCACTGCGCTGTTTCCCCGGGTTGTTCTTTTTGTTGGGCTGGAGACTGATCCACTCCTTGGCCGCCTGTTGCTGCAAACATCGTCAGTCCTTATCCCGAATAATTGGACGGTTCCCCAACCTTTGCGCTCCACTGTCCCACCATGAAGGATGCCCACGTGAGGCTCCTGCACCCTTGTGTGGTGCACGGCTTGGTGACTGCAGTGCTGAGTGGGGGTGACAGGCAAGCCTGTCTGCTTCAGTGTCCTCAGTTGTGATGAGGGGACTGTCACTCGCCTCTGCTGCCCGTCACTGGGGTGGTTGTGGAGCCAGGCTGCCGGGTTCTCTGGGTTCTGCTCCCTGTGCGTAACAGTCTGCTCCTCCACAACTTTACGAAAGGCTTGCTACTGACCAGAGAAGCCTTACCAGTGACTTAGAAATCAGACACCGCATTTTGTGCTGTGTGTATTAAATGCCATTAGAAATACGCCAAAGACCACAGGAGAACACTATATTGACATTGCCAACTTGGGACAATTTGAAAAAACTTGCAAGTGAACTGAAGAGCCTATAGATATTGAAATTTCTTTTTTAAACCAAATATTTTTCCTTTAAAAAGATTCAGTAGTGATTGTTCAGTGGTAAAGTGATTGTTGAGCATGCACAGGCCCCAGGTTCAACCCTCAGTAACACACATACCACATAACATGCATGCACGCGCACACACATACACAAATATATTTTCACTATTTTTCCTTATCTTTTCCCTCATTTAACATATTTGAAATTAATTGTGCTAAAGAAAAACAATCATTTTATAAACAGTTGCTCTATATAACTAGTTTTTCATTATGTCAGTCAGCTGCTCCTAGCAAATACTATTTTGATGAAGCCTCCTTAATATGTTAAACCATTGCCTTAACTCTCAAAAAAGATTAGTTATTTATTTTTATTTTATGTGCATGAGTATAAATTGACTGTGTGTGCGGTTGCAGTATCCATGGAGAGCAGAAAAGGGCATCATTTCCTCTGGAATAGGAGTGAGAACTGTGAGCGGCCATGGGGGTGCTGGGAACTGAACCCAGGTCCTCTGCAAAAGCAGAAAGTGCTCTTAACCACTGGGCTCTTTCTCCAGCCCTAGCCTTCATTTTTTTTTAATCTGATGTTTTTAATCAATAACACTGAAACGAACTATTCCCACATAGAATCTTTGCCTGCATTTAGGACTTTTTCTTATATACTTTTTCATATATATATAAATGATTTTAAGTTAATTGTGCTAAGGAAAAATGACCACTTTATAGACAATGGCTATATAGAACCATATTGTTCTCCAAGAAGACTACACTCTTACTGCATGAAAAAAACTTAAATGTTTTTTCCATTTGTATTTTCTCTTTTGAAAGTACACATTTTTACTTTTCTAAAAGTATTTTGTCTCGATGTGTGCATGTGTATCATGGACGTGCTTGCTTCACATGGAGGTCAGAAGAGAGGGCATTAGATCTCCTGGAACTGGAGTTACAGATGTTTGTGAACCACTATGTGGGTGCTGAGAACTGAACCCGAGAGTCCTCTGCAAGAACTTCAAGTGCACTTAACTGCTGAGCCACCACCTCACAATTCAGAATTTGTGTGGAAGAAAATCAAACCACAGCACTCAGAAGAAAATCTAAAGGAATATCAAGCACACATCTGAGAAACAGATTCCCGAACAAAAAAGCAAGAAAATCTGATCTCACTGAGAGACATAAGCATGTCAGAATGTTCGTACACATAGGAAAATATGAAAAGGAATTCTGGACAAGTCTACATCTCACTTACTTCTTTGATGCAGAAAAAAATCAACACCATTTTATGATGAAAAGGAAATAAAAACATCCGAGCACAGCAACATTGACTTCAGTGTTTACCAGCAACTTTAAATGTGACAGTTACTGAAGGCCGATAAAGAAGGAAGAAAAGCCAAGTGCACAATACTCAGCACCCTGGAGCAGCTGGATGGCAAATTTCAGGCTAGCCTGGGCTACACAGTGAGCTCTTATCTCAAAAAATTTAAAAAAAACAACAAATAAAAGAGGAGCTGGAGACATGGTTCAGTGAGCAGAGTGCTTACAGCACAAGTGTGAAGAGCCAAGTTCAGATCCTCAGCACTCATGGCACACCAGGGTACATGGCGGTCTGCCTGTAACCCTAGCACGAGGGAGGTGGCGACACCGGGCATCTCTGGAGCAAACCAGCTAGGGAGAGCAGCTGAGTCAGCACGCTAAGACTTCGGTGAGAGACCCTGGTCCAGTCAGTGCCTAAGCTGGAGAACAAGGCTTCGGTGAGAGACCCTGCTTCAGCGCCCAAGCTGGAGAACGACAGAGGGCCACAACCAGTGTCAACCTCTGGCTTCCGCACACAGATGCGCACATCCACATTCACACACTCGTGCACAGCACACCCACATGCAAGTTAAAGAAAATAGGGACAAGGCAAAGATGCTTGGTTCTATAACGTGGCCCCACTGTGACGTGCTTGGCACCGAGTCCGTTTTTATTTTTGTTTTGTTTCATGGCAGAAATGTACACTGTGGTTCTGTGGTGCGTTTTGTTCATCCTGAGAAAATTCCTTTGTTCCTGACCCACTGGGGATATTGTTTTTGGCACAGTGCACATCGTGGATGTTCATTTGTATCGCCAGATTTTAGGTTATAAACCCGTATTTCATTTTTAAGATTATCTCAATCAGGAGTGACCTTTAAGAGTCCGGCCTCTCTGTGCTTCTGCCTGCAGAGAAATTGGCACAATATGTGTTCACCCTTAACTCCGAGTTGCTGTCTTTCTCCAGCACTAGAATGTTCTCTCGGTGATCAGCCCTTGAGGGAGCCAGAGCTCTGGATTCTTCAGGGCTGTTGCTGGAAGAATATGGCCCACGTAGGCTGCATCACAGGAGAGTGGGCTTCCGGTTTGTGTTTGT